ATTTCATTTTGTACCCGGTACAAGACTTTTTCATGATCACTTCGGGATACTAGTTCATAAGTATTACTGCATCATCTCGTGACTCGTTTCGAACTAGCTCGCACTAGTCGTACCAAAATTGTCTTGAAGTTATCCTGAAATAGTTCTGAAAAAGCCGTAAACTCTTCTCGAAATGAATCCGAACTTGGCCCGAAATTGTCCTGAATAGGTCTCAAACAGGCCCCGAAACGATCGGAAAAGTTCAATCTTGATCTCGAACAAATCTCATAATGGTCTCGAAATGGTTCCTTATTAGTCCTAAAACTATACCGAACTAAGTTATCCAAAATGGTTATAAATAGTCCTGAAGTAGTACTGAAGTATTCCAGAACAAGGCCTCAAATGGCCCGCAAATATTCGTGAAAAATGGTGTTGATCCCGAACAGGTCCCCAAATATTCCTGAAATAGTCTTGATCACGTCTCGAAACGGTCCCGCAACTGTCCTAAACTACTCGTGAACTAGCCCAGAAATGTGTTGTACACACAAGAAGCAATTACAAATTTTCTGTTGGGTTAACACAAAATTTTATCCAAGCCGAAAGCAAAGTTGTTTACATATCAAAAATATGCTCTATATGTATGTTCGCTTGTATGTATGTGTATAAGTTCTTACATCGTCTCATTAATGGCAATTGCAATTACAGCCGCCTAGTTAACGCCAAAAGCAAGCAAGCAAAGTTTGTTTAAATAATCTCAAGTGAAAACTATTTGTGAAACTAACTTTAACCTAAACTTTCAACGATCTGCATATTATCATGCGCTCAGCAGTTATTTGCTGCCATTCAAACATTCGCATGTTTCTACATACATACATATGTATGAGTGTATGTATGTATGTAAATGCTAATATCCTTTTTCCACAGCAAACAGCCAACAACCAAACCTGCCTCGAGTCGACACAACTTTCGTGGCAATTTGTTAATAAATACTCAGTAAAACACACACAAGCCACGAGCACCAACCACCAACTTATGCAGCAACTTAGCAATTAGTGTTGTTGTTGCACTTTTTGTTGCAATGTTATATTTGCAATGTATGTAGTTGGCAATTGGTTGTTGTCGTTACGGGTGTAACGTTACAGATGAATCAGAGATATGAACAAATGAGTTGTTTGCAACAATGCTTGCGTTTTCGTTGTTGTTTAATAATACAATGCCATCGAGATGCAACAATGAGCTAGTCGGAGCAGCATAACACATTTAGCAGGGCTCATAGTCGTACAACAACGTTCAACACAACGCATATGTTGCAACTTTCGTTGCGCTGTGGCATTTCCTCCTGATGTTGCCCCCCCCTTATTTACCTACTCCTTCCACTGGCCAAATGATCGGCTGGCTGGCTACCCATTGCTAAGCGCATATTTGATTGCCGTTGCATTCATTTGGATTCAGTAGCTTCATTTGTTCAACGCAGCAGCAATGGTCGCACTAACAACAACAACAATGAGCGGTAAAAATATGTATGTAGAAACAATATACTCCGCCACCTTGTTGACGATATGGCGAGTGGCGGCAAAATAGCGCGGTAGCAGCAGAAATTTGTGCACATTTTCAGTTAACAAATTGAATTCATTATTCTAAGCTGGCCCACGGCCAAAGGCTGTTTAGCAAAGCCAACAGCGTGCGAGTCTTGCTTACTTGTTGGTTAAAGGGGCTGCAAGCGTTGCGCGTGGTTGCTTTCTAATTCCATTAGCGGACTGTATTTGGTAACGTCTACCTTTCACTTAAGCTGCAACTAGCAGTGTTGCCAGAACTAAATATCCATTTGGGACTAGAATCTCTAGAAAAAGGGCTAAATAAAAAAGTTTAGCGCTAAGAAAAAGGCGATTTTCATTCTAAACAAATATTCTGAGCTTAAAACTCGTAAAAAGAAAACATAAAAAGTTAAAAGATACATGATCAATTCATTAATTACACTAGTTTATAAGAAAAAAGGACTTCGCTAAAATGTGTTTTTTAAGACTAATTTAGGGGCGCTTAACATGAAAATAAGTCTCATTTATTTTTGCAAAGAAACGTTTTCGAGATACAGCCAAAAACCTTTTTTTAGTTATTTTGAAGTTATTGCCAAAAAAAAGACTCCAGAAATTAACTTAACTAATATTCTTTGGACACCTTTCGAAAAATATACAAGTATTTGGCCACATTGCGTTGATATATTTTTTGTGTCAATCGGAATAGTAATTCGAAAAATTAGGAAATGTTTCGAAAACTTTTCATTTTTATTCATTCCTTTCAGTTGATAAACTTTATCAAAAAAATAAAAAAGTTAGAACGAAGGACAATTGTATAACAAAAATGTGAAGCATAAAGAGGCCCGAATCGAGCAGAAAAGGTTGAACTTTTGGCAAATTTATTATAAAAGCGGTCAATGTAAATTTTTGCTACAATCACTCTTTCACTTCTTGCTCTTTCCACACAAGCAGCAAAAATGTTTAAAATTAAAATTAAAATTTTTGGAACCTAAAAGGGATGTTTCAAATTTAAAAGGGACAAAAAAATAGCTAGGGGCTAAAAGCGAATTTCTGGGGCAATTTAAAATAAAAGAGCTAAATCTAGATCCAAAAGCATCAAAATGGCAACACTGGCGACTACTACTTAAGGCGTACACATACACAAACCCGTAGCTACATATGCACGCGATTAATATTATGTTAATTGAATTAATTATTAATGAGCGCCGTATCTTGGGTCTTGGTTTCTCGGTTTCAGTTACTAAATCTGATTACGGAATACTGGTACCACTGCGGATGCGCTTATAGCATCTGTGGCATTTGTGGCATTTGTGCATAAAAACAGCGTTGTTGCTGCTAGGATATTGCTTGGTTAATATCAGTGTGACTAGATAAAAAAGAGGTTAGAAGTATTTGGATGCAGTGAAAAAATAAAACACAAAACAGCACAGCACGTTTATGCCAAAAAATTTTACAGCACTTCTACAAATTCAAGTAAAAAATCATTAAGTTGATCTTGAACTTTTTTGCTAAAAACTTCCCCGTATGCCCAAAAAGGCGAAGCAAAGAGGACACTTTAAATAAAAAATTTTAATGATGACGCGGTGCCAATATATGTAACTTTGCTCCAGGCACACCGCGACAAGCTTGCTCCTCTTCTTCCTTTATCTTCTAACAAATCTTCCAAAGGTTTTAGGTCGTACCTACTTAAAAACTCCTGCCTAAAAGTATTTATTGAAAAGAGCTCCTCATTTTGCCGACTAGCTTAAGATAGAAGTAACGTAGTTGTATATGTTTTGTTGTAAGAATTCAGCACTGCAACTCAATTAATCTGTTATCTTCGCTGATCAAATTTCCAAAAATTAATCTCGTTTTAAGGTTTCTATGCACAAAACCATTTTTTTCTAGGAGTACTAAAAAATGTTATATTTACTAATAAAAGCACTTAAAAAAGCAAGAAAAAAGACACGAAGCGAGACCTAAAACTGCGGGACTATAGCAACAATATAAATGCTAAATTCAGTATCAAAATATTTACCTGGTCACACTGGTAAATATGCGTGTAAATCTGGTGTTTTGTATTCTTTAAAGTGAAAATTGAGCAAACCCGATCTGGGATAACGCATACATTCATACATATTATATGTTTAAGGGTAAAAGTACAATGTTATAAGTTTGAAGCCCGCAAAATAAAATAATAGTTAAATAAGTATATATGTAACACCGGTGATGAATATCGAAAAACTAGCGGCAGGAATTGACCTCATATGTAGTAATCCAAACAGTCGGCAAATTCTGGGTTCAAGGTAATACAATACCTCTAACAACAGAGAGGCTGATTAGCTTCACCGCGGTTAAATAAGAGCTAAAATCTGCTGATTGTAGTCAATCGAAATTTGATTTTGATGGCGTTCAATTTAAAATTCCTCATCATTGGGATATGCGGCATAGAACTGTACGTAGGTCCTTCCATCTCAGTGACAGTATTCCACCAAACATGTAAAAAAACGTTCCAATATTTTTTGGACTGGAATTTCTTTAC